GGGGATGGGTTAGCCTGGTGATGGGTATTAAAGAGGGCACGTACTGAATGGAGCACTGGGTGTTATATGCAAACAATGAATCATGGAACAATACATCCAAAACTAATGATGTAATGTATGGTGATTAACATAACAATAAAAATTTTAAAAAAAAACCACAATGAGATAGTACTTCACACCCATTATTAACACCACCAAAATTAAAAGGACAGTCAATAACAGATATTGGCAAAAGAGAAAATGGAACCCTTATCTATTACCAGTGGGAATGTAAAACGTCACAGCCACTTTGAAAAATAGTTTGGCAATTTCTCAAAATGTTAAAAAAATACATAGAGATTTGACCCAGAAATTTCATTCCTAAGTACATACTCAAAATAATGGAAAACATATATCCACACAAACACTTGTACATGAATGTTCAGAGCAGCATTATTCTTAATAGCCAAAAGGGGAAGGGCGCCTCGGTGGCTCAGATGGTTAAGCGTCTGCCTTCAGCTCAGGTCATGATCCCAGGGTCCTGGGATGGAGTCCCGCATCGGGCTCCCTGCTCCTTGGGAGCCTGCTTCTCCCTCTTCCTCTCTCTCTCTCATGAATAAATAAATAAAATCTTTAAAAAAAAATAGCCAAAAGGGGAAAACCTGAGTGTTTGTCAACTGATAAATGTATAAACAAAATAACCATACAATGGAATGTTCTGCCATAAAAAGGAATGAAATACTGGTACATGCTACGATGTAGATTATCCTTGAAAACATCATGCTAAGTGAAAAAAGCATCACACAAAAGGCCACATATTGTAAGATTCTATTTAAACTAAATTTCCAGAATAGGCACATCTGTAGAGACCAAAAGTGTATTAGTATTAGTACTTCCCTACAATTAGCAAGAACATGAGGAATGGAGAGAAATTAGTGAGTAGGAAGTTTCTTTTTGGAGTGATTAAAATGCTCTAACTTAGATTTTGGGATGATTAGCCAACTCTTGAATACACCAAACCCCACTAAACTATATATTTTAAATGAGTGAAACTCCGTGGTATGTAAATTATATCTCAATAAAGCTATTTAAAAATAGGACTCAGAAATCAGCAAGTTAGAACTAAAACGCAATGTAGCAATGTCTTCAAAATTCTGAAGAAAAATTATTTCTGACCAAGAGTTCTATACACAAGCAAATTACCAACCAAGTGTGAGGTCAGAATAAAAGCATGTTTAGTTATGGAGGAACCAAAATATTTTCCTCTCATACATATTTTCACATGGAGCTACTAGAGGATATGCTCCATAACAGTTTACAAAGTAGACATAAAAGAGGAAAAAATGGTAGAAAAAAGTTGATGCAAAAAGAATGACAAAAAGAATGCCCAATACAAAGGTAAAGGAAGATACCAATGTGACAAATCCAGGTTAGTACAGATAAAAAAAAATGCCAGGAGAGATTTCTAGGGGAAAATAAAACTGATTCAAGATGCATCTGTTTAAGACCAGAGGAAATTCAGCCAACTGACAAATTCAGCCAACTGACAAATTTAGCTTGGGGTTGAAATGGTGATAAACATTAGAAAATTTTAGAGGAAAATCTGGCTGAATGGTTTGGGATTAGGAAAGAATTTTTAAAATAAGCTGTAAAATGGACAAATCAGAGACAAAAAATACATTTAACTACATTAAATTTAAGAATTTTTGTTAATGGGTGCCTGGGTGGCTCAGTTGGTTAAGCGACTGCCTTTGGTTCAGGTCATGATCCTGGGGGTCCCAGGATCGAGTCCCGCATCAGGCTCCCCACTCAGCAGGGAGTCTGCTTCTCCCTCTGGCCCTCCCCCCTCTCATGCTCTCTCTATCTCATTCTCTCTCTCAAATGAATAAATAAAATCTTTAAAAAAAATTTTTTTGTTCACTACAAGGCACCATTAAGGAAAGTAAAAAGATAAGCTACAAATTGGGAGAACACATTTGAAACATATAACTGAAATGGGACCAGCACATGAAATTTATAAAGAATACTTTTTAAAGAAGAGATATGGGCAAACAAATAGCACTTCAAAATACATAAATGGCCATAAAATATAAAAAAATTGTTCAACATCATTAATAAGCACAGAAAAGCAAATTATGAAATACCATTTCATAATCACCAGATTACCAAAAGCTAAGAAGTCTGACAATCAGTTGTGCTGGCAAAGAATGAAGCAAAGGGAACTTTCAGCTGCCACTGTTTGTGTACATTAATACAACTACCTTGAAAAACAATTTGGGATTATCTTATAAAACTCCTACTGAACTAACAGTTCCACTACCACGTACATATCCCAGAGATGTAATAATAGGTGAACCAGGAGATTGGTATGAGCATGTTTAAAGTAGCACCATTTGTAATGGTAAAAGAACCACCCACATTTCTACTGATGGACAAATCTATTACAGTATATTAATGGCATGTAATTATTTTATTGTGATAAAAAAAACACATAATGGGACGCCTAGGTGGCTCAGTTGCTTAAGCGTCTGACTTCGGCTCAGGTCATGATCTCGGGGTCCTGGAATGGAGCCCTGAGTCGGCTCCACACTCAGCGGGAGTCTGTTTGTCCCTCTACCCCTTCCCCTTTCCCCTGCTAGTGCTCCCTCTCTCTCTCTCTAATAAATAAAATCTTTAAAAAAAATAAATATAACTTACCATTTTTTTATTGAGAAATAACTGACACATAACATTAGTTTCAGGTATACAAAAGAACGACTGAATATTTATATACACTGCAAAATGATCACCAGAATATGTGTAGTTACTCTCTATCACTACACACAGTTACAAATTTTTGTTCTGTGATGAGAACTTTTAAGATCTACTGTCTTAGCAATTTCCAAATATACAATACAGTATTATTAACTATGGTCACTATACTACACATTACTTTCTCAGGACTTATTTATTTTAGAACTGGGAGTTTGTATCTTTTGACCACCTCACCCATTTTGCCCATACCCTACCCCAGCCTTGGGCAACCACCAATCTGTTCTCTGTCCATTTTAATATTTTCAGTGTACACTGAGTATACTGTCATTAAGTACATTCACAATGCTCTGCAAAAATCACCACTATCCATCTCCAGTGTTAGCCAAACTGAAACTTTGTACTCATTAAACAATAACATCCCACTCCCCCAGGGCATATAATATTATACAACAACTAAAAAGAATAAACTACTTGCAAGAAGATGGATGAGTCTTAGATGAATACTGAAGGGGAAAAAAAGTCATAGAAGACAGCATACTATATACCAGTATTTCTGTAAAACTCAAGAACCAGAAAAGCCAAACAAGTTATCGCTTAGAAAAAACATACATTTACTGTAAAACTTTAAGAGCACAGTAATGATAAACATAAAATTCTGGATAGCAGTTACCTGAGGGTAGAGAGGAGGAAGTGATCACAAAGCAATATAAAGGTGGTTGCAGTAATACTAAAATCTTCTGGTTCTGAACTTGGGTAGTAGGTTCATTTTGTTGGTATGCTTCCTAATGTACATGTGTCTTCTGTATATTTTCTTCTATCAAATGCTACATTAATGTATAAAGTTTGAACAGGAGCTTTCCACTAAACATGTTTATCAAACTTATTATGTACTATTTCAAATCCTCTCAGTCCTACCTCTTACTACAGCTAATGCTACCACAAACAGTACTGTGACTAGTTACACACTAGTTACACATTAGTCCAGTTTCATACCTTGTTACACTATTCATAAAAGCATCATGAAAGAAAAACAAACTAGGCCTGCTTTTCTTCATATTTTTTAGCACACAAAAGTATTAATAAGAATTCTATTTATTTCTTCTATACTTCCTTGAAAACATAAACCAAGCATACTTACTGTTGGTTTTTTTCATTTAGAGTATTCATGCCCTGGAGATCAGAAAGAGGTGTTCTGGGATTTTTCCGGGTTATACCTAACAAACAAAAAGCAGACATTTTCAAATCAATGCTAAAAGAAACTAAACATGAAACAATTTTTCTAAGAACAAATAATGTACTTCAATAGTAAATATTTGCTAAACATGTCAAAAATGTCTAAATAACAACATGAACCAAGTCCCATGACTGTTACTTACAAATCTGACTTAGCCAACAATGAACCCAATTAGGGAATTAAATAATAAATCTTGTTTCTTCTCTCATTTAAACATTATCAGAATATGAAAGATAACTGGGTTGAAGGTCTAGAAATGTATAAGCTCATTATTTTAATATTCAAAAAATTCCTAACGATTCCTTTGCATCATTTTTCAGTAACAAATATACTGCTAACACAGACTATAGATTTCAGAGGCCAATTAATCTTACATATAGACAATGCGAATCAAAAACAACAAATTATTTCCTTACTAAGGATTACCAATATTTTAAAGTTATAATTTACTTTAAATCATATGATAAACATTGAAGCGCTATACACATAAGGCCATGAACTTACTAACACCATATACACAGACATTTAATATAGTTAAGACACATTGGAAAGGAAGTTAAAGTATCTATTCAAGATAACAATCCTGTATGTAGAAAATCCTAAGTAACCCACAAAAAAACTACTAGGACTAATAAAAGAATTCAGTACAATTATAAGATATAAGATCAATATTTAAAAATCAACTGTATTTCTATACAATAGTAATAAACAATCAGAAAATAAAATTAGAAACAATTCCATTAATAACATCAAAATACAAAAAGAATAAACTTTAAAAAGTATAAAATGTCTACACTGAAAACTACAAAACATCATTAAAAGAAACCTAAACAAATGTAATGCTATCCATACTCATGCATTGGAAAACTTAATTACTGTTAAGTTAGCGATGCTCCCTAAATTTATCTACAGGTCCATGCAATCTCTATTAAAATTCTAGCATCATTTTTTTAGAGATGAATAAACTGATCCTAAAATTAATATGGAAATGCAAAGGACCCAGAATAGCCAGAACAATGCTGAAAAAGAAGAACATGGTTGGAGGACTCATACTTCTGAATTCGAAACTCACTACAAAGATAGAGTAATTGAGACAGTATGGTACTGACATAAAGAAAGACAAACAATGGAAAGGAACGGAGAATACAGAATAGACTTTTACATTTATGATCTAATGATTTTGACAAAGGTGTCAAGACAATTCAATGGGAAAAGAAGAATCTTTTGAAAAAATGGTGCTGGGAAAACTAGATATCCTCATGTAGAAGAATGAAGTTGGACCAAAAATCAAAATAAGTGCTAAAAGTATAAAACTCTTAAAAGAAAATATAGGAGTAAATCTTTCTGACATTGAATTAGGCAATAAAATTACTTAGGTATGTCACCAAAAGCATAAGCAACCAAAGAAAAACATGGATAAACTGGACATCATCAAAATTTAAAACTACTGTGCTTCAAAAGACAACAGATCAAGAAAGTAAAAAAAGACAACCCACAGAATGATAGAAAATGTTTGTAAATCAAATATCTGATAAGGAACTTGAATCCAGAAAATAAAAAGAACTCTTACAAGTGAATAATAAAAAGACAACCCAATTTAAAAATGAACATAGGATTATAAGATATTTTTCCAAAGAAGACATGCAAAGGGCTAATAAGTTCATGAAATGATGCTCAACATCATTCATCAACAGAGAAATGAAAATCAAAACTACAATGAGATACCACCCACCAGTATGGCTATAATCAAAATCACAGATAATAATTGTTGCCAAGGACATGAAAAAATTAGAACCTTTTATACACTGTTGAAATGTGAAATGATACAGTCACTTTGGAAAGCAATCTAGCAGTTCATCAAAAAAGTAAACATAGAATTACCATATGACCCAGCAATTCTACTCCTAAGTAAATTCCCAGGAGAATTTCCAGTAAACTGTTAATGGAAATATATCTTGTGATCAACAAATTCAGTTAGAACTTTGAGTAACTTTATTTTCTTATATACTGAATTCGTTGTTTTTATTTAATCAGTTGCTTAGTTATGGGCACCAATTATCCCTATAACAAATTATCATTTTCTGTCCTCCATATCTATTCTTTTCTTCCATGTATTGAAACATAATCACCTCAAGCCTTTCTTCAATATTAGTAATTCGATTTTCAGCTATTTTCCACTATTTTTTGAGCTCATACAGATGTAGCTTTATGTCTCTGAATGCTTTAGTAGTTCAATACCTCTTTTCAATATCGTTCTGATATTTTATAGTCTTAAATTTGTGCTACTGCTTTATTGGATACACATTCTTAAATTCTTCTATACTGTAAAGTACTCACAGGAAATTTTCTTCTCTTTCTTGGAGTATCTTCCCTGCAAACACAATAGGGTGTTTCTTTGAGGGTAATTCTTTTATGGATATTATTTGACTTTCTTTTTTCCCTCTGTGTGATGATTTTCAACATCAATTATTAAGTATTTTAAACATTAAGAGGACATAAGGAGTAATACAATGAACGTTTGTAACTGATCACTTAGAAAATGAAGGCCTGTGCACCTCTCTCCTGATCCCATTCCAACAGCTTCAGATCCCATCATCCCCCACTTGTTAGGATTAGCATAAAAAAAAAAACTTTAAAATAGTTATCATAATTTTCAAGGACTTAAAGTAGAAGATGGTCTTATGAGTTAACAGACAGCAAAACTCAAGGGAAAACTGGGAACTGTAAAAAGGAACCAAATGGGTATTCTGGAACTAAAAATAAAAAATTCATTCTATGTGTTTAAAAGAAGACTTTAAACAGGGAATGGATGAACTTGAAATCAATAAATAAAAATTATCTAATCTGAAGAATAAAAGAATAAAAAGAAAAGAAAAATGAACAGAGTATAAGGAATCTCTGAGACAATATCAAATATTCTAAAAACATATAACTGACATCCAGAAAGAAAAGAAATTGCAGTAGAAAAAATTTTTGAAACAATGTTAGCCAAAATTTCCTAAATTTGATGAAAAACAGTTGAAGCACAGGTCCAAAAGGTACAGCAAATCCCAAAGAGGATAAATATAAATCACATCTAGGAAATAATAAATTACTAAACCAAAAAGCAAAGAGAAAATGCCTAGCAGCCAGAGGAAAAAAAGGTACATTAGATATGAAAGAATTTATAACAAGATGACATCTGAATTTATCATCACAAATAATGTCAAAAGAAAACAAAGTGTCTTTAAGGTACCAAAGTTTGACAGTTCCTAATGACATTAAACAAGTCTTACTTTAATGACACAGTAACCAACCATAAGTTTTACCTGAGGCATGAAAACATATGTACACAAAATGACTTGAATAAGAATGTTTATAGCAGGGCTCCCCGTAATAGCTCAAAACAGTATACAGCCCTTATATCCATCAAGAAACAAATGATAAACACAAAGTTGTATATACAATTGTTTATATATATACAATAACCCAGCAACAAATTAATTGTACATAAACAACATAGATGAATGTGTTTATCACTATATTGCCTAAGAGAATCGGAACACAAAAGTATACATACTGTATGATTCCATTTTTGTAAAATTTTTAGAAAAGGCAAAACATTTGTAGTAACAGAAATCTTAGAGTTGCCTAAAGGAGGTGGGAAAATGTACAAGAGAGCAAGAATAAATTTTGATACAACTTTATTCAATATTTTATTTTGAATCTGTGTTCATATGATTTGTTTTTCTCTAATAAACATCTTGAGTTTTTTCTTAATTGCATAAGCTGTTTTTTATTTAATTCGGTTCATTTTAATTTATTTGTATTATGTTGTTTCTGGTTTTTCTGACTTCGTATTTTATGCCTTGAATCTCCCTAATTATTATATGCTTTTATCCAGATTTCTGCTAAATTATTTTCTTTATATTCTGGTTTCTTTTGTTTCAGAAGTTATAAATACTCTCCTCTTTGATTATCCTTGAATTTTAAGCATATCCATGAATTCTAAACTGAATTCTTTCTTCCCTTCTGCTAAAGAGTACAAGAACCTTTGAATGCTTTGATTCTAGTTATCCCCTTCCCATCTCAGATGTCGTTACCCAGTTCTTATTTTCACCTTGTTTTCTTCCCATTAATCAAGCAAATTAAACTTCACTAAGTTTTATAAAGTAATTATTTAGATTTATACACATATTTATCATTTTTTTCAAGATTTTATTTATTTGAGAGAGAGAATGAGAGAGAGCACGAGAGGGAAGAGGGTCAGAGGGAGAAGCAGACTCCCCGCTGAGCAGGGAGCCCAATGCGGGACTTGATCCCGGGACTCCAAGATCATAACCTCAGCTGAAGGCAGTCTCTTAGATCTCAAAACTTTCCAGTGAATTCAGGTTCTGTCTTTCTCAACTAAATCTTTTAATAAAGTTCTATCAGTGTAGATCTGCTCAGATTACTATCTAACTTTATTTACTACTATTGTTCACCTCTGCCTGGTATACCTTTGTCCATCCTTTTATTTTCATTATTTTTAAGAATTTTGTAGATATGGGGTGCCTGAGTGGCTCAGTCAGCTAAGCGTCTACCTTCGGTAGTTATATATAACCCTAAGTGCTAGGGTTGTATATAACTACCTATATAACTAGATCATCGAGCCCCGATTCTCCCTCTGCTCCCCGCTTATGATCTGCCTGTCTCTCTCTCTCAAATAAATAAAGTCTTAAAAAAAAAAAAGAATCGGGCGCCTGGGTGGCTCAGTTGGTTAAGCGACTGCCTTCGGCTCAGGTCATGATCCTGGAGTCCCGGGATCGAGTCCCGCATCGGGCTCCCTGCTCGGCAGGGAGTCTGCTTCTCCCTCTGACCCTCTTCCCTCTCGTGCTCTCTATCTCTCATTCTCTCTCTCTCAAATAAATAAATAAAATTTAAAAAAAAAAAAGAACTTTATAAAAAAAGAATCTTGTAGATATTATTTAATTGAACTTGAAAAATTCATATTGAGAATTT